TGTGTTGTAAATATCTGCGGTTGTGATTAGGCCTTGATATATGCTTAGCAGCTCAGGGAAGGAGAAAGCATCGCATCCATCTCAGGAAAGCCATGAATCTCTAGCTCTTTAATTCTCACATTGTGTCCCCAGCGCAGTGTCCATCTGGACACCTTTACCCATCAGTGTGAAGGAGCAGAAAGACCTAGCACTGGGAGGATGGGCTGGAGTCCTAGCTCCTCGATATCAGTGGGTAACCTTCCATCACCCTCATTACCTCGCCTTCAAAGCAGGAATTGCTGGAGGATTAGCCACAACAGCCACCATTGATGGTAGATTTACATGAGCATGGACCAGGTACAGCTGCTAAAGAGTTTACGTAAATTCATTTAATCCTCCAATGTCAGGTGAGATCCTTTACCTCTGCACTGGGAAGGGCTGTGCAAGCCCAAAGCCATCAAAGACAGGACAGAGGAAGCAAGCTATAGACTTAAAACTACAAAGTAGTTAGACTTAAAATTCTAAAGGACTAAGACCTTTCATAAGAAATGTCAAAACTCTCAGACCTTTATAGAAAAACAAGCAAAGATAGAAGTAAATAAATTTGGAGGGAAGTAAGTACAGTAACGAAAAATATTTAAATATTTAATCTCACTGGTAAAGAAATTAAAATAAAAAGAATGCCTTTGGCCTATCAAATTTAAAGTGATAGCAGTTTGTTAAGTGAAAATCTTCAGTGTTAGCCAGGATGTAAGAGAAAACTGTACCCTTTTGCATGGCTCGTGGGCATGTAAACTGGAGCAGCTTTCTGTTGAGCCATGTGACAGAATGTGTCAAGAGCCTCAACAAATGTTCACACGGAGCTGGTCTGGTAATTCCACTTCCAGGAATTTATCCTGAGGGAATAATCTGACATGTGGGCAAGGGTTTATATAAAAATGCTAACTTATGTTGCTTTTAATTGGATGTAGCCTAAAAAACATAGGGTAGAGCAATTGACAGCTCTTATTTTTAAAGAATTTTAAATGAGGAAATTTCTCAAAATAAAACAAACAATATAAAGTTTTTTTCTTTATGAAGAAAAAAATGCATACATAAAATGTAAAATCTATAGAGAAATACACTGAAATGTTAGCAGTGGTCTGTGTTTAAGTGGTGGGATTGTGAGTGACATTTACACTGAGTGGCCAGATTATTATCTCTGAATGCATAATAATCTGGCCACTCAGTAAATATATATATATATATTAGAGGCCCAGTGCTTGAATTTGTGCATGGGTGGGGTCCGGCCAGCCTGGGAGGGGATATGGGTGGTTGGCAGGCTGGCCTGCTGGTTGAACTCCTGGTCTAGGGGACAATTTGCATATTAGCCTTTTATGATATAGGGTATACACTGAGTGGCCAGATTATTATTCATTCAGAGATCATAATAATCTGGCCACTCAGAGTATATTCTTAATGCTTTTCTTGACTTGTTGGGTCCTGAGAAAGAAGGGGGAAAGATTGTGTATTATATAATAGAACAGTCCTCTTCATACTGTTAATGAAGTATTTGGGTAAAGAAAATTGTAATTCGTGTAAATAGAATTTTTTTATGGCCTTCTCCTACATCTATGGCTCAGGTAGATCAGAAAAGGCAGACATGGAATCTAGGGCACGTTCACACATTCACACCTGGACTAGGTGTCTTCTTCAGATAAACCTCTTCCAGACCCCAGGCTAATGTTGGACACCAGCGAGTTGTTGAGCATAAGTCGTTAAGGATCTGTGGTTATCTACTGTTTTTATATTTGGTGCTCAGTTCCATTCAACAGTTTTCTGATTAGAGGACATTGAGTGAGACTCTCTTTTGTTTATTGTATGGATTGAGAAACAGATTCACTGACTACATTCAATCTGCAAGGCAGATTCGGAGATTTTGAAGTGAATTTGTTTTAAAAAAAGATTAATAGGGTTCTATTTTGGCAGGGCCATCACCGGTTCCAGCCCTGCTTTTTTGGAAGGGCGGGTTTCTTTAGTTAAGGTTCCCAGCAGTGCACTCACAAGTATTTATGAAATTAAAGGCATTCTGGCTTCCCTTACAACCTCATGGCTATTTTCTCGGAGCTCAGTGCTGTGCTAACCCAATAAACCACATGAAATCAGTATCACAGCTGGAACTGTGTACAAGTAGTCTTTTGCTTTGTGGCTGTATTATACACTAAATTAGGGTTCCCAGACCCAATTCCAATATGGGGGAATTCCATGTACACCCACACCAACAAAAGATTCTGGACACCAGCAGGGTGTCCAAGAATTCAACTGAATTATGATGCTGTCAGCCCAGAGGGTTCAGTCCCATAAGACCCGCCCCTGATCACCCTTGAGACTCCAGTTGCAATTCCAGGCATTGACCAACTGGTTATAAATCAAAGATTTCCACAGCCCCTTCTTTGAGTTCAATTAATTTTCTAAAATGGCTCACAGGACTCGGCGGATCCTTTTACTTACTAGAACACTTACTAGAAAAGGAACACTTACTATGACCAGGAACAGCCAGATGAAGAGAGACATCAGGCAAGGATATGGGAAGGGGCACAGAGCTTCAATGCCCTCTCCAGGTGCCCCACTCTCCCCAAATCCTCATGTGTTCACTAACCCAGAAGTTATTCAAACCCCATCTCCAGAGGTGGGGAGAGGGGCAGAGACTAAAAGTTCCAACACTCTAGTCACACGGTGAGTTCTCCTGACAACAAGCCTCCACCTTAGATACTTTCCAAAAGTCACCTCATTCACATAACACTTAGGAAATTGCAAAAGTATTAGGAGTTGTGAGTAGGGTGTGGGCAAAGTCTATATAAGATTTTATTTATATATATATATATATATATATATATATATATATATATATATATATAAAATCTTATACATGGTAAAATATCTCTCTCTCTCTCTCTCTCTCTCTCACACACACACACACACACACACACACACACACAGTAAATACTACTATGACGCACTTCCCTTAGTATATGCCAAAATGGGGGGATGAATGAGTAGATAAATAGAGATGTCATCGATAGTTATGACAGTTGAAAGAATGCTTATAGTGTTCAAGGACTTAAAAATGTTGGAAGAAAGGAGAACAGAAATGAGCTTTCCTTGAATTAGAAGTCCTCAAATCTATTGAAACAAAATATCTGGTCCTAAAGCCGAGGGAATGGATATTTTACACATGATCTTAGCCAAAAGGCTGAGAAGCAATGGGAATGTCTAAAGTCTCTATAGGAAATTCTGACGCAGCCTGTTGGGAACACTGGCTTAGCGGTATTGCTCTGGCATATATTTATTCTGTGCTGTCCACCTGTGGCGCTCTTCAAATGCAGCTCATAAAATAAAAGTGGAAGTTTTAATTAGAATGTAAACAGCTGCGTGTGAAGAATTTCTACCATGGTAGAGCAGCCTTGACCTTGGTCTTCGGGAGTCTGTACAACAGCACTTCTCTCTGCCCACACCAGTTTATACCGTCTCTGTATCGTGGGGACAAGCAATGCCGTCAACAGGCAAGACTGCCCTCCACTTGAGGGTGAAATGAAGCCATGTCAGCCCATCCTTCCAACAGGAGTGCGTTTCATCACAGTGACGCTCGGATGATGGCTCAGACCTTTCACGGTTAACTTCCTGGCTCCAGACCTCCTCCAGGAAGGATCCAGGGGCCACTGTGCCATCTGTAGCCACACCCAGGCACCTGAGCTGGGTTTTTTAACCGAGTTTGCTCAGCAGAGTCTTGACTTCCCCGCTCGGAACGTACAGTGAGTGCTGCTACTGCTCACCGCCTTCATCATCCCACAAAACCAAACCAGGGCCTCGTTCTCCCCAGGATTTCTCACTCACGATGTTCGTTTTTGTAGCTGTTTTATTTTTAACTAAGGAAATCATTCCTGATCTTCTCTCCTGACGTTTAAAGGGTTTAAAAGTTCAGCATGGTGAGTTTTTATGGGACTTTTATGGGAAGCCGGGTGTTGTAAACATACCCAAATTTATCTCTGTAGTGCCGTTTGCCAGATCCTTTCCAGTGCACACCGGCCTGGCTTCCCTTCAAAATATGAACCAGATGGGTTCGATTAGAATTCTCCAGCTCTTCTACACAGCATGTTAGGCCATCTCATAGTCTGAGCCTGGTGAGATCAGGATGAGTCTTGAACGGAAGCGAGACAGAGCGTGGTGGCAGCAGAAGCTGTGTCTATCCTTCCCGGGCCCTGCCCCTGCGCCAAAGTGTGGGCAGCCCATCTTATAGAGGTTCAGTACATCATGGTTGAATAATGAATGAATGAATGAATGAATGAATGAATGAATGAATGAATGAATGTTCTTGCCATAGAGAAAGGGGGCTGAAGGGATGATCAAAGGAAGAGAGAAGACAGGAATCAGGGAAAGGCCCCATTTGGGATAAAAACAATTGGACTTAGGAGGAAATACTTGCCCTCCACAGCATTACTCTGCCGAATCTAGCAGGTAAGAAGAAAGATGACAGCTTCCGGAAACCTAGCTCAATGCTGGTGAAAATCTTTAGCACCACAATGGTGATTCCCTACACCAGTGGTCGGCAAACTCATTAGTCAACAGAGCCAAATATCAACAGTACAACAATTGAAACTTATTTTGAGAGCCAAATTTTTTAAACTTAAACTTCTTCTAATGCCATTTCTTCAAAATAGACTGACCCAGGCCATGGTATTTTGTGGAAGAGCCACACTGAAGGGGCCAAAGAGCTGAATGTGGCTCGCGAGCCACAGTTTGCTGACCACGGCCCTACACTAACGATAGGAAAGGCGCCGAAGAACTGAAATTGCTCGCAGGAGTGCAACCAGGAGAGGCTGGTTTAATTCCAGCTCTTAATAATTCAAATGCTCTTGGCTGTGGCCTGTGTATTTATTTTTTTCATCTAATGTTACAGTTCTAAGAAACTTAGCAGTTAGACAGCCTATAATTGTGATGTATCTGTCCGCTTATCGGCATTTTTTATTTTCCTGAAATTTTAGGCACAGAAAAATGAGAGAGAATCTATCCGACAGAAGTTGGCACTCGGGAGCTTCTTTGATGATGGCCCAGGAATTTATACCAGCTGCAGCAAAAGTGGGAAGCCAAGCCTTTCCTCTCGGTGAGTGTTCCTTTCCATTGATTCTCTGATATGTGTACCTAATGGGTTTTGTCATCTGACCACTTGTCTAATAAAAGATATCCTTTAAGTCCTTGAGTAATTTTTTTTTTCATAATACTATCAACTATATTTGGATTCTGGACAGACTTCTCCCATTTGTTGGGTTTGTTTATTGGGGTTTAGTTTTGGGGCTTTTTTGGCCAGTTTTTCCAAGCCACCTGAGGTCAGATTTCTATATTTCATTTTTTTTCAAGACACAGTGCAGTTTTTGCACTGTGATGGGGGAATCAAGGCACACTCCAAAGCTGGCTGATGCTTAGAGAAGCATGGCAGATCACCAGATTTCCCATTAAGCAGTCCCAAAGCACCCAGCATTGCTCCCCTCTTCCATTTGATTGTAGTGTATACCGTAGCTGAGAAACACAGTTCCCTCTTTGAGCATTTGATGTTTATTACAGAGCTTAGCTTGTCCTCCAGGCAGTTTTTCTTTTATATATATATATATTTATATTTTTTAATTGATTTCAGAGATGAAGGGAGAGGGAAAGACAGAAATATCAGTGATGAGAGAGAATCATTGATTGGCTGCCTCCTGCACGCCCCACACTAGGGTTGGAGCCTGTAACTTGGGTGTGTGCCCTACCGGGATTTGAAACATGACCTCCTGATTAATAGGTCGACACCCCACCACTGAACCACACCAGCTGAGCCAGGCAGTTTTTATCTTAATTTATTTCAAGATATCATTGCTTATTTATTACCATTTCAGGATATCTTTGATTATTTGCATACCTTCCAACTCCAACTAAAATTATAATTTTACCTGGAAGATAAGGCTATCAGCCAGAACTTCTCAAACTGTAATTAATGTGCATGTGAAAACCCTGGGGATTTTGTTAAAACGTGGTGCCCATTCTGAGTCGCTAGGCGTGGGTGGAGCTCAAGATGCTGTGTTTCTAACAAGCTCCCAGTTGATGTTCAGACTGCCCGTCCATCGGTGACACTTTGCTACAGGAGGATATAGACAATCTCAAAAATTAACTGTTACAAGTGTAGATATTCGAGTGGTTAAAACACTCAGAACTTTGGTTTAATAAAGGTGGTAGTGACTAAAGACCCATCAGTGTTCTCTTGATGCCTCCTCAGATGGCTGTTTCTGGTTGGAATACCTGTGTCTTCCTTTGCGCTCTCTAAGAGGAAATGTTCTCCGTATAAATACTAGATAATTTCACCGTGTTAGGCCAGGTGTGGGAAACACATGATGGCAGTTGCACACTCATTCACCTAATGGGTTATCACTCTGTCCTTCATCTGAAGCCTGGAATTAGACACCTTCATATCTATTTATATCTCTCTGGCTCTCATTACGCCTTGTATTTCAATCTGATTCTTAGACTCACCTACTAGTCAATCAGCAAGAATCAGAGAGCACACACATGGTCACTTATAGGCATGTTTAGGGCCCCTACAGGTGAGTTAGCCCGTCAAGGAAGGGGCTGCCGTTTGGCCACGCAGAGCTGAGGCACCCCTTCCTCGTTCCCACGCTTTTCATGTGCCTTAAGCCTTTCCCTCTGCTGCAGACACCTGTCCCCCGGTGGGATGCGGCAGGAAGAGCTCAGGCCTGGGCACCTGGAGACCTGAGGATTAGTCTTAGTTGAGCTTCTAATTTTGAGACTTGGTGTTATCATGCCTTAGTTTCATTTTCGTAAAATTAGGAGATTGAACCGTAAGTTTTATTTTTTATTTATTTACTTTTTTTTTATTAAGGTATTATATGTGTACATACCTTACCAATCCCCATCCCACCCTCACTCCCATACATGCCCTCCCTCCCCAGAGTTTTTCGTCCATTGGTTATGCTTATATGCATGCATACAAGGCCTTTGGTTGATCTCTTATCTCCCCCATATCTCCCTACCCTCCCTGCTGTAATTTGACAGTCTGTCTCTGTATCTATCTTTTTGTTCATCAGTTTATAATGTTCCTTATTATCCATAAATGAGTGAGATCATGTGGTGTTTTCTTTCATTGACTGGCTTAGTTTTAATGGATTTCTGCTACTGCTCTCTGATGTTCCCCAAAATATCAAGAAGTTTTCTTCTGGAAACTCCATTTCTCTGCCATGTCAGATCTATCGGGTCCAAATGGGAGATTCTTGTTTTTTTAAGTGAAAGTTAGTTCGATAGACAGATATAGACATATACATGCATACGCATGCATACACATATATGGCTATGAAAGTAAAATAGAATCAATGAAAATTACAAGGCGTATAATACACGAAATAAAAGTAACAGCCCTCTCTATCATTGTCCCTCTCTCCAGAAATTTTTCAACTCTTTGTTTTTCTGGAATTTACCTGCATATCTCTGAGTAAAATGATTATCTTCTTAATGATTACTTTTAAATAACCATCTTTTGACCACCTACTGTGGGAATTTGGGACTTAACTCTCTTTTATTGCCCCCTCACAGCTACATCTATACTAGTATATTCCAAACCCTGTTCTCTTCATGGCCATTTCACCATTTGAGGTCACATAACTATTCAATGTTGACTTTATTAAGTTCATGTATTATTCATACTGAGCCATATGCTAATCTATGATTTACTTGAAAAATTATGTTGTTTGTCCTGAATTTAAAATTGCCCCATTTTTCTTTTGGCTGATCTGTGATTTCATTTCTTTTGGCTGATCTGTTATATCATATTCCACTGTGTGAATATAATCAGTTTCTTCTGCCACTTTTCTGATGATGGGTATTGGGTTGTTCCAAAGGTTTCGCTCTTGTAAACAATGCTGCTTATAAATGTGCTCGTACGTGTCTCTTCCTGTCAGTGTGCAAGAGTTTCTCTTTGGTGTCTACCTAAGAGTGGAATTGCTAGGAAAATGCATGATTGCTCACATTTAGACAATAATGCCAATCTGATTTCCAAAATGGTTGCAACAAGTTCCATGCCTACCAGCAATGTCTCAGAGATCCTGTGGATCCATAACTTTTCTAACACTTGATATTGCCTATTTCTTTTAAGCTTTTGTTAATTCAATGGATATAATATACTATTTCATTGTGTTTATTAGACATCCTGTTTCCTCTTCTGCAAAATGTCTATGTGGGCCTTACTGGATTCTCTGTGCTTTTTAAAATTAATTTATCAAAGTTGTGTAATCATAATACTAATCCTTATTACGTTGTAGGTATTGCAAGAATATCCTCTCAGGTTGTAGCTTATCTTTTTCATTCTTCAATATATCTTTTATGACTACATGTTCTTAATTTTAATATAGTAAATTTTTATCAAACTTTTCTTTTAGAGTCAAGCTTTTCTATGTCTTATATATATTTTAAAAAATCTTCTTCTACCCCAGTGTCCAAACATCATACCAAGAGTTGAAAGTGTTCATTTTTTTAAAAGTCTGTAATAAATCAGGTTTCTGGATATGATACAAACAGAGCAAGTGCAGAGGGTCTAGATAGTCCCGTCAGGTGTTGTCAAATACCTCTCATCCATCTACATTTTATCTCCCAGATTTTTTCAAACTCTCTTGTGTGCTATTATCATCTCTTTCATTTTCTTTGTGTAGGTTTATACCTTTTTTCATCCTTTATCATTATAGTAGTAGGGTTTCAGAGGAGAGATTAAATAGCTGTGTTCAGTATGCCATGTTTAAATAGAAGTCTCATGAAGGTTTTTATTTTATTTTTAAATTATGGTTTACATTCAGTATTATCAATATTATTCTGCATCAATTTCAGATGTACAACATAGTGGTTAGTCAATCCTATACTTTACAGAGTTGGCCCCCAAATATCTCCAGTACCTACCTAACCCCATGCATAATTATTATAATACTAGTGGTGCAGTACATAAAATTCGTGCATTTGGGGCGGGGGGTGGGGGTTGGGGGGGAGTCTCCCTTAGCCCGGCCTTTACCCTCAGCACCCCTCGCCACCCCTCCCCTGCAAGCCCCCAGAGCCCATCTGAAACCCTTCTGGCAGAGCAAACCTTGGAAATCACTGAGTCATCTACCCCCTTTGGAGACACAGATATCGAAACACGTGTACTTCACAGCAGCTCAGAACAAGCTACACTTGTTGACTCGCCATAAGGAAGACTATTTTTATCCTGTTCTCTCAGATGTTTTTATCCGCACAGGCTGGGATGAGATCATCCTCTGCAAGAGCACGACGACTTCTTGGATACCCCTTGGGATGATGATTAATCATGACACTTAATGTTTCTAAGAAATATCTCTTTGTTAAAGCTGTAAGTTTAAAGTCTGCCAAGATTGACTGACATTTCCCCTCATTGGTAATAATGTAGGAGAAAAGCCCTAGGAAATGTTCAGTTGCATTTGTGTAACTCGTACTCCCCATCCCTGTTAGAATTAGTTTTTTCCTAATGTATCACGGTCCCTGAAATTCTTCACTGAGCTAGAAATACCTCACCTCTTACTTAACAAGAGCATTTGAGGGATGTTAGGCCTTTGAGGTCACTGTAGTGCTCACATGTGTTGAGTTAGTTAAGTAATCAGAACTAGGTAAGTCTTATACGAATGTACTGCTCTGAAGAGCTCAGTCCTCAATTTTAAATGAGGCTGAGGACTAAAAATTAATTGGCCAAACAATTAAAAAGTGCTGCGCTTACTTTTTTTTTTAAAAAAATTCTTTATTGATTAAGGTATCACATATTTGTCCTCAACCCCCCATTCCAATCCCCCTCCTCATGCCCCGCCCCCTATTGTCCTTGACCACTGGTTAGGCTCATATGTGTGCACATAAGTCCTTTGGTTGATCTCTCTTTTATCCCCACCCTCCCTTTGAGGTCCAACAGTCTGACCCATGGCTCCTTAACTCTGGGTCTGTTCTTGTTCATCAGTCTATGTTGTTCACCACTTCCCCTAGATGAGCGAGATCATGTCCTACTGAAATATACTTATAAGAATCAAAAATGAGACAAGCAATAATCGTTATGCTGAAAGGCATATGAATCAGTCT